TCTCCTGCCCCAGCCTCCTGAGTAGCTGGGATTACAGGCACGTGCCACCATGCCCAGCTAATGTTTTGTATTTTTAGTAGAGACGGGGTTTCACCATGTTGACCAGGATGGTCTCCATCTCTTGACCTCGTGATCCACCCGCCTCGGCCTCCCAAAGTGCTGGGATTACAGGCTTGAGCCACTGAGCCCGGCAGTTGTTTTTTTTTTTTTGAGATGGAATTTCACTCTTGTTTCCCAGGCTGGAGTGCAATGGCACTTTCTCAGCTCATGGGGCAACCTCCGCCTCCCAGGTTCAAGCGATTCTCCTGCCTCAGCCTCTGGAGTAGCTGGGATTGCAGGCATGCACCACCATGCCCAGCTAATTTTGTATTTCTAGTAGAGACTGAGTTTCTTCATGTTGGTCAAGCTGGTCTCGAACTCCTGACCTCAGGTGATCTGCCTGCCTCAGCCTCCCAAAGTGCTAGGATTACAGGCATGAGCCATGGTGCCCAGCCAAGCAAGTATTTAATTTTCTAATTGAAAATGGCCACTGTCCTTTGTGGATGTCCTGATTTGATTTGATAGTTTAGACCTGGAGGTATGGGTGACGAAATATTGCACCACATCAGAATATCTTATTCTCACTTAGAGGATATATAGGAATTTCTTAATAATATCTAACAGTTTTCTCAATATCCATTATATTTAACAGTAATAGCTTACAGGGCAGGAAGGAGACATAGATAACACAACCTTAGTAGTTTAATTTGGTCATAAATTGTTTTGTTTTGTTTTTGGAGACTGGTGCCCAGGCTGGAGTATAGTGGCACAATCATAGCTAAAAATTTGGTTGTAACAGTTCTTTAAATAATATTTTTGGCTGGGTTTGATGGCTAACACCTGTAATCCAAACACTTTGGAAGGCCATGGTGGAATAATTGCTTAAGCCCAGGAGTTCAAGGCTAGTCTGGGCAATGTAGTGAGACTCAGTCTCTAGAAAAATTCTAAAACTTGGCTTGATGTGATGTTGCATGCCTATGGTCCCAGCTACTCTAGAAGCTGAGGTAAAAGGATCACTGGATGTTGAGGCTGCAGTGACCCATTATTTGGCCACTGCACTCCATCCTGGGTGACAGAGTGAGACCTGTATGTGTATATATACACACACACACACAAACACATACATATATATTTACATATGTATATATACCCTATATATATAATCAAAATAATATGTACGTTGGCTGAGTGCGGTGGCTCATGCCTATAACCCCAGCATTTTGGCAGTTTGAGGAGGGTGGATCACCTGAGGTCAGGAGTTTGAGACCACCCTGCCCAACATGGTGAAACTCCACCTCTACTAAAAATACAAAACTTAGCCAGGCATGGTGGCACATGCCTGTAATTCCAGCTACTAGGGAAGCTGAGGCAGAATTGCTTGAACCTGGGAGGCAGAGGTTGTAGTGAGCTGAGATCACGCCACTGCACTCCAGCCTGGGCTCCCTTCACCTGCAGGCCCCATGTGGAGGAGCAGATGAAGCCTAGGGAGACCCTGGGAGTCACTTGTTCTTACTGGGCTTTTCCCCAGCGCCATACTTTGTTAACCATTTCCTGGGAAGAGCTTAAGAACTTCCTGTGCTCTAGTGAAGCAGGGCCTTTCCTCACAGGGTATTGGAGAGAAGACATTCTGAGACACTGTGAATGAGAAGCTAGCATAGTGCTTAACAACTACCTGTGGGACCTGGCATCCTCTGCAACTATCATGTGACCTTGGAGTGTTCAGATGGCCTGGCTTGGCCTAGGGCTTGGTGGGGCTGTTTGAGGGTCAGCTGCTTTAGGCTACCACTTTCTCCTCAATCAAAGTGGCTGTTTTTGTGTCTGTTTATGGTTTTTAAAAACCTGATATTATAGGCCGGGCGCAGTGGCTCATGTATCTAATCCCAGCGCTTTGCAAGGCCAAGGTGGGTGGATCACGAGGTCAGGAGTTCAAGACCAGCCTGGTGAAAAAAGTGAAACCCCATCTCTACCAAAAATACAAAAATTAGCCGGGCATGGTGGCACACACCTGTAGTCCCAGCTACTCAGGAGTCTGAGGCAGGAGAATTGCTTGAACCCGGGAGGTGGTGTGTGTGATGAGTTGAGATCGAGCCACTGCACTCCAGCCTGGTGGCAGGGCAATGCTCTGTCTCAAAAACAAACAAACAATCCTGATATAGAAATAGAAAGTGCAGCTGGAGGTGCAGAGGCTCAGTGTCTAGAGCTGTGCTGCTTGGGCGGCTTGCTTTCTGTGGCCAGCTGAACTCTGGGTGTGAGGTGGTTCCCACCCGGGATCTACAATCCCCACCACTCTCCCCAGGCCCTGAGTAACCAACACAAGGCAGTGCTAAAGAGCAGGTGAGTGATGGGCATCAAGCCCATCCAGGAAGATTTGAATGCCATCTGGGCTGGGGCTGTCGGGGGTAGGGACTATGGCTCTCAAAAAGCCAGGATGGTTATAAAAGCTGAAATTTGAAAATAATTGTTATATATATTTTTAGTTTTGAATAGCCATATAGTATATTATTTAAAATGCATATGACCTTACACAGAAGGTTAAAGGCGAATACCCTGTTGGGTGGGCCTGGCTTAGCTCGGGGAGGGAGCCGGGTCTGAAAAGGCTGCAGCTTAGGCTGTTGGTCTTCGTTCAGCCAAGCATGTGATCATATCTTCTGTCACTCAGGGCCTGAGGGGGTGGGCTTTTAATGATTATCCAATTAGGGACGCTGGCCTGGGAACTGTCCAATCAGGCACGCAGGTGGAGCGGACAGGGCGGCTTCCGGGATGTGGCGGGGCCTTTGTCTCTTGCTGCAGCCGAAGTTCCTGGTCTTGTCTTCACTTCGCTGTGTCCCTTTTCCTAGAGGCCCAGCATTTATGGCCCTGTGACCTGCAGCTATTTATCCACAGCTAAGATGCCAGGTCTCCTGGAAGCCTAGAAATGGTGAGAGTGCCGGGTCCGACATCCCGAGAGAGGGGAAGGGACTGGTTGGAACTGGTGGGAAGCGGCTGTGGCAGGACTCAGGCCTCCCCGCAGTCAGCTCCACAATCTGCGCCCAGGGTTCTCCTTGCCCAGCTCGGCCTCAGCCCCTTCAGCCATAAGATGGCGGCTGCGCTGACAGCCGGTCCCTGGGCGTCCTGTCTCCTCCCTGCGTAGTGATTGTACCGGGGCCTGGAGCCCTGTCTGGGCAGCTCTGCACTTGCAGCCCCGCATCTTTCCCACATTGTGTAGGGACCACGAGAGGGTCATCAGCGGATAATTTTGACTGGTGCCGGCTTCGTGAATGAGAAGAGCTTTGATCCGTGACATTCCCAGTTTTTCTTTGCTTTTATTAAAAATTTATGGGAGTCAAAAGGCTGGGCGCGGTGACTCTCAGGCCTGTAATCCCAGCACTTTGGGAGGCCAAGGCGGGCGGATCGTGCCACTGCACTCCAGCCTGGGGTCAGAGGGAGTCTACGTGTCAAAAAAAAAAAAAAAAAAAAAATGGGAGTAATTGCAAAAACATTAAAGAATTTAAGAGTTGTTCAAGCCGGGCGCGGTGGCTCACGCCTATAATCCTAGCACTTTGGGAGGCCGAGGCTAGTGGATCACGAGGTCAAGAGATCGAGACCATCCTGGTCAACATGGTGAAACCCCGTCTCTACTAAAAATACAAAACATTGGCTGGGCATGGTGGCACGTGCCTGTAATCCCAACCGCTCAGGAGGTTGAGGCAGGAGAATTGCCTGAACCCAGGAGGCGGAGGCTGCGGTGAGCCGAGATCGC